CATTTGTATAAAATTAAGTAAATTGGACGAATTTTGGCTGAGATGGGTAAACAACCTTTATGGATTTTTAAAATCTGTAATACATAAATAATTCATAAAATGCTTAGGCATTGTCAATGGGTACAGTAATTCAGATTCAGAAAGCAATTTAAGCTCTGGAAGTCACCACGGAGGAGGAATCGGAGACAATAGATAACAAATTTTACAATAAATTAGCATATCAATAAATTGTACTTATATCACTTTGGGTAATAATTTTATCCGCAGACGTATGAAAATAATAGAATTCTGATAATTCATATTTAGGTGAAAAATTTTTTAATGCAATTTGCGGGATGTTAGAGTAAATTTTATTTCGTTTAAAGAGACAAGTAGAAGGGATTCGTAAATTAGTTCCACTGGAGGCTGTTGGGGATTACTTTGAAGTTGTGATTGTAGGCTTGAGCGAATAGGTCTTCGGCACAACGACCTGCGACGCTGATGAATCCGTGCTGAGCTTTCGTTTGACATCTAATGGACATCGTCAGGGCAGGATATCATGTTTAACAGTAATTCACAAAAAACACTAAGACAAGAAAGGTGGCCGGCTTCAAACCTCCTTCTTATAGTCCAATTTGATTCACTTAGGCATCTTATCTTATTGTTGAATGTCATATGCTTTGACAATATATTTGTTCATAAATTAAGTGGCTGCAGATGAAGCATGAAACGGGTGGTGTGAGCGCATTGTTCTTGAAATGAGTGTGATGTGCGAATCTAAACCAGATTCTAGTTTAATCAAGGCTACTCCTCTTGTTCGGTGGTATTCTTGTCGTTTTCCTTTCTCTAAACCTATCCAACAGCCACAATTAGTTTGCGCTTAACGTTATACACTCATTATGTCTGTTCAGGGTTTTAGCTGTTTTGTGGGTTTATATGGCTTCCCTAATCTTCCGCTTATTGAAATAGTCTTCATATCCATCTAAGCGCTTGGTATTAGACCAATATATCTGGTATTTTGTTCGAGGTATGTGTTTAACCAGTACCTATTTTTAGACCCACAGACCTTTGTATGTTGTTTTTGTTCTTATATATGGGCTTCAGGTCTTTCCCAGAGAGAAGTAATGCATAAGAAAACCTGTATTTTTGAGTTTCCTATACATATATCTAGCTAATCTGAACCCCTCTTTATAACTAGAACATTAAGAAAAGGTAAATCATTTTCTTGTACTAAATTGATGATGAATTTCGTATCACTATATATCCGGTTCATTAAAGCAAGAAAATTCTCTACGTTTTCTTTGTCATGCTGCCAAGCACAAACTAGTCGTCTAAATAGCGAACTAATAATTTAGGAATTAGAAGTGACTACCAAATGAGGCGTTCATCAAATTGAGCCATGTAATCATTTGCTAAAATTGGTTACAAACACTATCCCATAGCTAAATATCAGGTTTATTCGTACAGTTTGCCATTAAAGGTAATATATGTAGAGTGCCTCGCTTTGTTGGTTAGATTAGGGAAGCAAAATAAACCAAGAAAAAAAAGCCAAAATGCTGAACAGAAGGAATGAGTGCATGAAGTTAAGCGCAAACTAATTATGGCTGTTGGATAGGTTCAGAGAGGGTGAGGACTACGAGAATATCACCAAGCAAGTTCAGTAGACTTGCTTAGACTCGAATTTGATCTAGACTCTTACATCCCACTTATTTCAAGAGCATAGCACTCACACAACACCCATGAAATAGGACTCAATTACATGTGGTAACATTGCAGGATTTAAGGCATAAGTGTTTTTGGTGAGGATTCAGCTGTTCGATTTCAATTGCACTCGTTTTACGTTCAATCTGAAGACACTTAACATTTGAGGAAATATATTGTCAAAGCATATGGCATCAAACAAGATAAGATGCCTAAGTGGACCAAATTGGACAATAAGAAGGAGAATTGGTTAGACCTCTTTGCCGCTACTTGGCCTTACTGTCAGGATGACTTAGTAGAACGCACCTAGTCCGAAAGCGTCTAACATAATAGTTGTCATGAGTCTCAGCATCATACAGTTGACGTGGTACATTTACAAACGTTTCGTTGGCATTATCAGTTAGTTTTGCCATTATCCAAATCAAGCAACGAACTGGTCAAAGAGGCAAGTGAAGTCAATCCCTCAGGTTAGAACAAGAAAATGGTTTACCTTTTCTTAATGTTCTAGTTACAAAGAGGGGTTTAGATTAGCTAGATATATGTATAGGAAACCCACAAATGCAGGTTTACTTATGCATTACTATTCCAACCACACTTATGGAATTAAAATAAGGTTTCTGAAGTCTTTTATAATAAGGAACTTGTATCTGGCACATGTTACGCATCGGGGTCAGAAACTGAGAATACTAAGGAGAATTCTGGCTGATATTTATTTGAGAATATTTTTAAATAGGATAAAGGGAAAGAGAAGGGGTCGGGGTGAAAAGCAAGTGTGATGAGGCCACATTATATTTACCAATAAAAGGCACACATTTTGACGAGTGGAATGTAAACAAGTCAGAAGTTGTGATAAAGTGGTAGCAACTAGACTACCAGGAGAGTATATATATATAACAAATTTTATCAAAAATAAAAACTAACTTATACTTACAAAATTTAATTTAAAACTTTTTTCTCACTCTTTGGAACCTTATTTCGTTAGCGGCATTCCCGTATCTGTAGTCACGCTGCTATGGATGCTTTTGGCATTAGTCTGGAAGAACTGGATTCTACCTTCGCTGATAAGGAGCGAAACGGCTCATTTCACGAAAAGCTAGTCCATTTTTAAAATATTTTTAAGAATTGCTCAAAAACATTTGTTTGCTGATGATGATTTACATTTTATCCCTCGTAAAAGGGCCAATATTAAGGTCCCTTTGTCTCAGCTCTATATCTATCCGGATATCGAGGGATGTCTTCATGAAGTAATTTATTGCATAGGTTTTGATTCCAGGTTATTTACACATTGGGCCAAAAACTTGTCACGTTGAAAGCCAATCTTAATGAGCCTGCGAGAATATTTCCTTTTGTTCTAGATTCCTTTCAAAGACGAGCTATCATGTGCATTGATAATTATCAATCAGTTCTTGTTTCGGCCCACACATCTGCAGGAAAGACTGTTGTTGCTGAGTAGGGTTATTCTATTCTATGCTCGTAGGTACGCCATTGCAATATCTCTCCGTGAACATCAGCGTGTAATCTACACCACTCCAATTAAAGCCCTCAGCAATCAAAAGTTTAGAGAGTTTTCTGAAGAATTTAAAGATGTTGGCTTAATGACCGGTGATGTCACAATCAATCCAGAAGCTAGTGTCCTCATTATGACAACTGAGATCCTTCGTTCAATGCTTTACAAGTCTGATTATTTTTTCATATTCTTGTAGGGGTTCTGATGTAACTCGTGAAGTCGGATGGGTTATATTTGATGAAGTTCACTACATGCGAGAGAAGGAACGTGGAGTAGTTTGGGAAGAATCTATGATAATGT